AGAGCATGAAAAGCGCATTAAGAATCCGAAAAAATTAACCCTCTAGGTTAATTAGGTCACGTGCTAGAGTAGTCCAAAGTTGCGAATTTGGCTGTTTTCGGACAGCTATAAAACCGGAAGTACATGTCGGAGGTCAAATGTCAAAGTATTAACTGATAGCTAAGGTCCATGACCTTTGACCTTATGAAGGTCAAGGTCATCAAAGTTCAAGATCACGAGATTTAACCCTTCAAACTTTGAAAAAATTCAACCGGATGTTGCAAAAAAGCAAAATTGAGAATCGAAAAACGGCTTCCTAATGTCATGTTTTTTTTTTATCTTCTTTCATTTGACACCAAAATCATTTAAATCGGATGAGCCATTATGTCTGAATAAAAATCGAATCATTTCAGAAAAATCAAAATGGCGGCCAAAGTTTCACGTGTGTTCCGGATTTTTTTTTCTTCGTTTTTTTCTCATAACTTTGTCTACCTATCAGCATAAAAATTTTTGTCCTATACAAATTACACCGGAAGATATTCAACCGGAAGTGAACATCGTTTTCCTGTTTAAACCGGAAGTGAAATTGAAAATTTGACTGTACCATTTTGTTTACATTCTTAAACTGTCTTTGCGCAATTTTTTTCAGATTATTCAGACAAAAAGCAAAAAAAAAATGAAAAAAATGCAAAATTTGGCAAAAAAAATGTCTGCGACAAATTTTCGAATTTTGAAATTTTGAAACTGCTATTCTTTCAGATTTTAACAGTAGATTCCAAAAATGCAAACCCAAAGAAAATCGACCGAAAAATACGACTTCTAGAGCCGATTATCTATTCTTGCATATATTGAACTGTGGCACTTCCGGTTTTGCAAAAAAGATCCAAAATATATTTATGCACATCGGCGCCTATATCTAAGGTTCGTGAATGTTGAATGGTTACTGCAACTATTGTAGTCTAAGCTCAGGAAGGTGTGTAAAAAAAAAAAAAAAAAAAAAAAAAAAAAAAAGAATTGACATTTCGATAACAAACTGGGACTTTGCTGAAAGCAAAGTCCCACAATAATGATGTTGCGCGTATTCAAAAACCCACATCAGGTGCAGAAAAGAAAACAATCCACTAACTTAATATGTTTCATTTTATTTACTAACTACTGGTCATTAAAAATTGTATCAATATAAGAATAAAATGAAATCTCGAGTCTCTTTTCTCTCATTATATTAATATTGTTATGGTCGAACAGTATTTCTTTATATATTCACTGTGCCATTTTTTGACAAATCATACTTAATTCTTAGAAATCTAATTTTTTTTAGTAAAATGAATCTGTAATAGTGTTTACGGCTCACCGTCGAAATTGGAGCCTTCAAATCCATGTGCGTCCAGAATTAGAATTTGAATGTTAAAATGACTCGTCTTTTTAACATACATGTACTTTGTGATACTTAGAAAAGACTAAAAAAAATAGTGAGTACAATTTGAAGTACTAATAAAGGAATTATGCGATTTGCGTACATTTCTAGTACTTCTGAAGACTTTTTACATATACATGTATTCAAGACTAAAATCAACCCCAAAGATAGCTTGGCAGACAAGGTAATATACGCTCACTGGCAGCTTTGATTTTAAACAAAAATATTTGGCAGTACAGTAACAATTACCCGTATGAAATATTTAAACTTCAGTCTCACACTTCTTTTGAACTTTTTGGGGTGATATTGTATAATATTAACAAGTTTCGTCAAAATCTGTCAAGAATTGGGCATTCTAAGTTTAAAAGGCTAAAACTAGAAGGCGTTTTTAAGAACATCCTTGGTTGATAACAAACACTCACACTAAGTTTCATCAAAACCCATCAAGAATTTTGTCTTCTTGAATGTTTATGGGCCAAAAATTGAAAGCATTTTCAAGAAAAAGGGCAAAAAATCATACTAAATATTTTTCGGTTTTTCTGATTATCAATAGGGTTTATCCTTTGCTGATTACAAACACTCACACCAAATTTCGTCAAAATCTGTCAATAATTCAACCTTCTAGAGCGTTTACGATCTAAACATTGAACGCATTTTCAAGAAAAATCGCGATAACTCATACTAAATATTTTTGAATTTTCATCCTTGGGTGATAACAAACATTTACACATAGTTTCGACAAAATCTGTCAATTATTGAACCTTCTAGAGTTTTTACAAGCTAAAATTGAACGCGTTTTCAAGAACAAGGGAAATAAGTCATACTCATTATTTTTCGATTTATTAGGGTTCATCATTTTTCGATTTTCTAATTTTTGATTGAGTTCATCCCTGGGTGATTACAAACAAACGTTGGCCTGTTGGGAATTTTTCAACCCAACGGTGGAGAAGGTAACAGCTATAAAAAATATAAAAAAACAATATATATGCATTAATTATACATATACAACCCCCAAATTGATCAAGAATTGTGCTACAATTTGTATTGTGGTTAACGCGTGGACAAAAACAAGAGCAAATAACTCATGTTTTCCGAATCCTTTTTTTTATCTTAATTAGTTATTTATTTTTTAATTCGTTGGTTTCATCCACGATTAAAAATAACAATAACACCAACTTTGGTAAAAAAGATAATTATGCAATATATCGAGATTTAGTATTTACAATAGCCGATAAAACACTTGACACGTATTTACTATCAACGTTATTGTAGGAAATGCAGTTTCAACTATAATGCAGAGGATGTCTTCCTCTTTCTTAACCTATAATTTAAAGAAGTAGGCCCAATTGATATTTCAGTATATGTTTACACTTTCGGGATGATTGTTCAATGACTCGTTTAAAAAATTCAATATACAAGATAATCAATTTATTTAATACATGCAATTGAAAGAAAAGAAATATAGTCAAAGATATAATCAAAATTAAGCACAATATCTCGCAATGTGAATTCCAATTCCATCAGCTGTTTTATATACATGAGAAACACATATGACGCCTGAAATATATATATAAAAAACAATATAAATTATATTGTACACTTTTACTTGTACCCTTAGGTTAGGGCTAATCACTTCATGTTCGCAAGTAGTTAGTTGATTTAAACAATATTTTATTTCTATGTTAAATAAAAAAATTTACTGCAAATAAGTAAGGTTTCGGAAACAAGCTAATCCGGCACCTGGTACAAAGAAAAGACACAATACAGAAAATATGAAATACGTGAATAAATAAATGGTTATCAATATTTAGTAATTTAATAATAAATAACAATTAATTATGTATATTTGAATATATGAATGAAAACGTGCGAAAGAGCATAGGTGTCTAAACCAGACAGGGGTCGTCATCCCCAAGAATTTCGTCCGCCCACAAGTAGCTAGTTCGCCTTGGGTCCTTTCGCTCTACAATATTTTTACCTAATAGTGCTCTTAGCTCAGCTGACTATTTCTGTTATCTTAATTATTTGATAATTAATCTCTAAATGACATTTAGAAGTAAATAGAACATTAAATAAATAAGAACACTATAATCTATATACTAATCCTTCT